CCAATGAGAATCAGTTTAAAATGATTTTGGCAATCGATTTAAGCTTTGTTCCATTTCAAATGTTACATAATAAGGAAGAATATAAAGCTTATCTTAGTCTGTGTTAGGTAGAACAATAACATTTTCCTATGAAGGAAATTCTAATTACTATGAATATATAAATGAAAGTTAATACGATGCCCTAGAAATATTGTATTAAGAATTATTTCTTCCTGACTAGAAAAGTACGAATGTTTGACTTACAGCTTAGAAAATCTCAAATTGTATACTTTACCAGAAGAGTTGAATGTTTTTGTAAATTCGTAAATTCTCACCTAAAACAGAAAAGTGTGTTTGTTACAAATATTGAAAATAGAAGATAATTGGTAGATTTAAAAAGTAGTATATAGAGAATAATAATTACATTGGTTTTAAAAATATCTACTAAAAGCATGCAAATGTTTCTGACAAAATTAATCTTGATTTTCATTTGGGTACAAACACTGATCAATTATATTTTCTAAGGATTTTTCAATTTTAATATTTTAATATCAGATGTTATGATTATAATGTTTAATTCGTACTATAGATTCCTATTATGTATAATTCCTAGTAATTCCCTCCTATATGTATGATATGTATGTCATATGTTCATCGTACTCTATTACAGCTAGGTAATTATACAGGATGTGTCCGAATAACATGAACGAGAGAGTATAAGGCGATCCTGTATGGAAAAAGTAAGAAGTTGTAGAATAAAATTTCTTCGCATAATTCTTCGTTTTCAAGAAAATCAAATTTAAAAACTTGTCAAGACTGGATATGAGTAAACAATCGATAAGAGGTTATCCTAAATGTAAAAATAAACAGAAAATGTGAAAAGAAATTTTTCCGTTTGAAGTTTCATTTTTAAGAAAATAGAATGTGAGCATATTTGGTCAAAAATTTGTCTAATACACGTGTATCGGAAAAATTTCTGATTTATTCTTCTCGTAGACAAAGCGTCTTATGAATAAACTTTATCCTACATTTTCGATTATTTACTTCTGTTCAATCCAGAATTAACCACGTTCGAGCGTATTTGATAAATTTTCAAACTCGATTTTCTCAAAAACTAAATCGGAAATAAAAAGATTCTATCCTATATATTTTTCTCATTTTTTTCGTAAATAATCGCTTCATGTTCGTGTAGAAGAAAGAATCACTCCATGTGCCACTTGTACATGTTATTCCGCCGCATACTGCATGTAGTGTTACTTTGCATTACTTGGTTTCATTCTATGCGTTAATTATGTCGTACATTTACTTATATATATTGATGAATATTGTTTATATGTCGAACGTTCATGGCAGTATATTAAAGACCAATAAATAAAAGACAAATAAATTTTTATAGATTCAAAACCTGACATCTGGAACTTCCAAGAAACATATCGATAATAATTTCACTCGAATTTATCTAGAAGAAAATAAGTACACAAGCAGACGAATTTTTCGTAACGTGATAGCATCGGCTAATTCAACGGAGTATCAAGCAATGCCCTTCTCAATCTTCATCACATCTTGGTTTACCGACAAAGCCGCTAAATCAGAAACCAAGTCCACTCTACGTTGGTCGATCGATCAAACGAGTAGAAAGCAACGTTCTCCCGTTGAGCAACGAAACTTCGCCTATCAGCAAAGGCAGGTAAACTTGGAGCTAAAGCACAAGTGGACAGCCCACTTTCGCTACGTTCGTTCGATGTTCTCTAATTAACGCGCGAGCCTAATTATAGAATTACAGACGGCGACAGTTGGACGTTGTCTGCCAATAGACGGAAACTCAGAATCAACCTGATTCAGCGAACGACGGGAATCACCTTGAGAAGGGTGGACAAAGGCGTTCGAGGGTGACAGTATCGCAGCCTTGACCCAAAACCATCCACGTTTCTCCCTAGTTCGACTCGGCTTAACGGTTATTCCATCCGGAAACTTTATCACCAAAAACAGCCAAAATCTCTGTCTTCCATCAACCGAGAATCCATCGTTGTTAACTGCTTCCTCCTTTATTACCAATTACGTTTTATGATTCCGGAACTTGGCCGTCTTCCGTGGTACAGTATCTCACTGAGAACACTGTTTACCATCGAACCATGTTCGAAGTTATTGGCAGAGCTTAGAGTTTGCAGTTTAAGCTGGCGACAGTTTGGTGGGATACGGTTATATTGTGGATGTTTATATATGACAAGTGTAAATATATAAAATTGTACAAGGATGTACACGAATGCAAAAATCTGTAAAATATCAAAAGTAGAGTACATATTGACACATTTGGAAAATACATTAGAAACATGCATATAAAATATTAAAAAGTACTTGTAACGTAATGTCATCACGTTCTTCTACTATTCATTGTATGTATAATCTTAATTAGTATGGCTTCTAAACGGTGGAACTATACGCTACAATCCGAGACTTTGGAATCAGTAAATCTACCATAGACACGAAGAACGTAAACAAAGGAGTTAACTCAGACTGCGATTGCCTTAGAAAATTTTGTCACAAAACTCTACCGAAACAAAGAAAATTATTGTTGATACTTTTAATACGAACTTCGATTTAATAACAAAATTAACAGAAGATCCGCTATATTCATAACTCAGAAGTATAATACTTGTATTATGCCTAGCCTTGAGAAATAAGCACATAAAGATGTATCATACACCAGCTGCTCTTCATCAACAAGCTTTACGAGGTCATTCAAAAATATTTATTACAATATTTCGTATGTATCAGTGGGATCAACCTCGACCTTCGCATGGTTAAAGAACAACCCTTGCGTCTCCATCACTACGATCTAAATCTCCGTACAAAACGAAACTGCCAACGCTCTAGCGGAGTACATGCAACCGCTTTCGCCGGGCTCTATCAAATGTCAAAGTTCAGTACACCAGTTCAGCTGATCAATATTGCTGGGTGTTCATTCGGCTGCCATTGGCGCACTTTGAAATGCGATTATCTTTCACAGTGAGAATAGACGAGCGGACGGACGTCGTTTGACCTTCGACAGGCATCTTCCGCGGGATTTCAGCCGCAAGGATTCCTCGCCACGCCCAGGCACGCGTAGGCTGAACCCTGAGCACCGTTGAAAGGGTAAAGGGCGCGTGCAGCCTGGAATTCCAGCGACCACCGGCAGGAAATCAATTACGGGCCTTTAAATCCCACGACGACCGGCTTCCTATCGATCTTTGCCTCCCACGGAAGTATCCGCGACTGCTTTGCATCTGCTTATGGAAATCTCGCTACCGAACGATTATCGGCCACAGTATCAATCGGCCACCGCTAATTTTTCTATTTCGATTTAATAGATGGAGCTTTGGTATTATGGCTTCTAAATGATCCATGATACAATTAAGTAAGTCGATGTAATCTAAAAATCACTACAACATCCATTAATGGGATTCTTGGATCCCGTCGACTTATTTAATTGAAAGAAAATTCGAAACTATGTATGAAAGCGTTAAATGACTTCTTCTAATTGATCTCATATACGAAATAATTTGCCTAATTCATTGACTCACGATACATTATGCATCATCGGCTTACAACAGGCCGCACGTCCGTTAAGCGGTTGGTCGTGGAGCGTGACCCGCCGGAATCG